ATTAAAGGGAGTACACATTATAAGTATATTTGACAGTAATATTAAATGTTGCATTTATAAATGTTTTAATTCAAAATTATTTACTGGGGGGGGGGGGGGAGGTGTTGGAGAGCAAACGCGCAATGTAACAAGGCTATCTTTTTCTATCGTTTGTTTAAAATATACAAATCTAAATAAATATAATTATTCACACTTTTGTTTGATTTTATCTTTTCGTCACACTTTTCTAGAAAAATAAAGAGAGGGAGAGAGTTGGCTGATTTATGAGGACAAGTGTAGGAGGTTTAAGGGGAAGGAACGCGCAACTTGAACTTTTTTGTTTATATACAGGGTGGGGCAAAAGTTCGGCGACAAATGTTTTTAATAAAATCTTTTGTAAAAAAATTTTATTTAAGATTAAAAAATGATAAAATATAATCAATAGGATATAATAATCATTTTGTTAAAGTAATTTCTCAAAATGACCGACCCTCACTGAAATACACGCATCCAAACACTTACGGATGTTACTCACAATGGTCGCGCATAGTTCATCGGTTATTTCGTTCCAGGCCCGCCCAAAACAATTTTCAGTTCCTCCGATGTTGCGTATCGGATTCGGCATACTTTTTGCTCCAGAAATGCCCAAATAGAATAATCCACTGACTTAAATCCAGTGAGTTTGAAGGCCTCAAATCTTTCCCCCAAAAACCGGGAAACAGCTCCCCACAGAGCTGGATTGTCGTTTTGGCTCCATGCGCGGGTGCTCAATCCTTCTGAAGCGAGAATTGGTTTTCTCCGTAATGCTATAACGCCCAAGGATGCATAACCCCCCTCAGAATGCCATTTTTAGACTAGCATTAATTTTTACATTTCATCACTCTGTTATGGCGACCAGCTGCGACCAGGCGTTTAATCCTTCGACATTTCTGAAGCTTCTGATGCTTCATTCGATAGATAAGGAAATATGCGCGGCTGATCTTTTAGCTTCGAAGTCTAAGCTTCACTCTGACAATTCTTTGGGGGCTCCTTGGGCTCATTCCGAGATCTGAGGCCGTTTTACACATCGATTGATCGGAAAAATGACGAATTTGGCATCTGACCACGTTTATGCTTTCAGGCGTAACTGCGGTTACAGGCCGGCCACTACTAGGATGGTCCTTAGTATTTCCAAGCTCATGATATCGTTTTATTGCTTTGGAAACTAGCATACGACAGATATCGAGCCGTTTAGCGATGTCACATTTTCGAACATTTTTAAAAAACAAAGAAATAATAGAAGCACGATTCTTTAACATTCTGTAAAATTTTTACTTTATGAGATAGGAAAAAATTTTCAAGATAAAATGTGTAGAGCGTGAATCATAGAATATGGAAAATCTAAAAACAAAGCAAAATATAAAGTAAATTTTAAGAAAGGACATAATAAAATTTGTCGCCGAACTTTTGCCCCACCCTGTATTTGAATATATTGTTAGGCTTTAAATTAATTTGGGGGCTGGTATGTCTCTTTCTAGATGCCTCCTTATAATGCACGCCCTTGTGGAGGTAAACACGTATAATAACATGAAGTCTGCATTAACGTGGGGAAGTATGGCTTAGACTGTAGCCAACCCCATTTACTTCTATTTTACTTCTATTTTTCAATCCTCTTGTAGAGTGTGCTCATATTAGAGAGTGTGCTTCTATTGGAAGGTGTGCTTATATAGAAAAATGTGCTTCTATAGAAAAACAATTAATTGCCTCCACTTAAAGTGTGATTCACATTGATAAGGCAGTACCCATCTGTCGCCAGCCATCGAGCTTGGGCCCCTCGAAAAAAATTTTTTGACTAGTAAATGTATAACGGAGGGTTTGAAAAATATTTTGCTATTCGAGGGTATAACGACAGTTTAGGATGCAGAATGTCTTCTGACTTGCATATCCCGCGTAGCAAGCTATATGGGTTCATTAATTGTTCTGTTAAAAACTATATTCATTTATCCTCATTTTCCTCATTATCATAGTTTGACTTTTTTTCATTGTTTACTGGTCCTTAAATTATCCAAAATTACTCTAAACTCATTATCTGTTTAGGATTCATTGCTCAATTTAAGATATAATTAAATATTATCTACTGTACCCTTAAAAGCCAAAGAATAATAAAATTCAAAAATTTTTTCTATTCAACACAGTATAATATCGTTAAACAACATTCCATGTGTCCTCCTCATAAAACTACTTATAATTTTCAAATATCCACTGACACTTAGTCCTTTTTTAAATAAGAAAGAAAATAATTTTCTTGAGAGAAAAAATAATTAAACAGATTTTCCCTTTCTTTACCCTTTTAATAGCTTTAAAATGATTCTTCCCCCTCCCTACTTTTTAAGAAAAAAAAGTAAAAATTAGGGGCGGGCCACACACGCTGAATGGGCGTTATTTTTATTGCCCCACGTCTGTTGTTTCTAGCTACACAGCTGTTGCTTCTTCCCCCTTTCCTTCTTTTTCCTTGCATTTCTTCCTTCCCCTCCTTCCCCTTCCCTCCCCTCTTCTTCTGTCTTCCCCTTCCCTTCCTAGTTTCTTCAAATCCGAGGGCAATTACTTTAAAAGAAGGGAGAGAATGGGATTGAATGGACTCTCAAGCATTTAAAAAATATTTTTTTGACTTTTAGTAACGTGGGGGTAATCCAAAGGGGAAAATGAAGAATTTAAGGGGGTTCATTAAATTACGGTTCATTAAATTAACCTTTTTATTAAGTAAAAATCTATTAAAATCCTCAGCTTACAAAATTATATTTCTAAAAAATGTTAATGCCAGCAACAACTTCATATCCTTCCCAATTAACATTTTTGAACCCCCCGCCTTTTTATTCACAAGGTAATTTAATTAAATTGAATATTATTACTAAGATATGCTTTGAAATAATTAATGAGGGTTGTCGGTTCCAGAAAAATTTTTCGAGTATTCAAAAATAAATTCTAAAATTCTAGGGTGAAGAGGGAAAACGTTATCTCGCTGTACCATAAAATCTAATTACTGATCCTCGAGTGCGATTCCCCGTCCTCGCACAACAATGATTTTTGAGGCAGTTCCTTGTGGGAGAAGTTTTTCATGAAAGGAGATCACGGGAACAGGAAAAATGGGAAGCGGGGGGGGGGGGGGGGGGGGGGGAATTTCCCGTCCCTATCTCCGATAGTCCATTCCCCGAGATCCCCTTTCACCGTCAAACTTCTCTTTACGGTCGGGGCCACCCCTAATTTTTAAGTGAGAAGAACCAAAGAAAAATCCTCCTCAATTCTTCTTTTATCTAAACCGAACCGCCAATTCTAATAAATTTATTTAAAGAAATAAATAATTCATCAATCCAACAACTAATGCCAAAACAACAACCATCTTCTCCCTCTCCTGAATTCCCTAATAGTAAATTAGTAATGCCCCCATTTATTAATTCTTTTAATGAAAAACCGCCCCTCACCCCTTCAATGTATTTTTGGCCGCAGGAATTAAACTATGATTGCGGGAAAACAGACTTGGCACAGATTTTTGGATTTTTTGAAAATAATGAAATTAAATATAATCAGCAACAACAGAATTTACAAAATATTCAAAAAAGAAAGCAGAGGTGATAAATTTATTTTAATAGAAGGGACAGAAACTCTCCATGGGATTTAGTTAATATACTAGAACTTTAATTCTATTATTACTAGAGTTGGACAAGACGAGACCGATACCGAGACCGATACCGAGATTCTCGGCTTTTTTCCAATATCGGTCTCGGTTTTTTCATTCTCGGTCTCGAAACCGATACCGATATTCTCGGTCCATTTCTCGGCGAGAAACGATACTGACTCAAAGACCCCAATTTTCTTGTATTTTTTAATAAAACTGAGGATTTTTGACCTTTGGCCTTCTGAAGTTCAAAAAATTTTCGCCTGCGGCGCTGAAAAGAGTGAATCCTTCTTTATTTGCCTTACAAAATCCGAGCATTTCACTAAGCCCTCACGATTGAGTTCGCACGACTGAGTTGCTCTTTTATATAGCTCAACTGAGTCCCAGTAATTTAATAAAATAAAAGGCTTAAATACAATACTGGGTTATTTGGATGGATTTGGGTGTTTATGGGGATATCAATGGATTTGGAGGGATATCGAATGTAACGGTAGGATATCAAATGTAGACGAATGTAATATACTTTTGGAACAGAGTGTATAATCCTTTTACCTATAAATCCTACTATTGTATTTTTTATAAAAAAAGGATGTTAACCGTCAATCGAATCGGATCCAGATGATGAAGAGTATTTATCTGATGATTTGGATGATGAAAATAATGAATAAATTATTTTTACACGTATTTTTTGACGTAAAATAAAATTTTCTTTAGTTTCGGTCAGTATCGTTTCTCGGTATCGGTCTCGGCTCAAAATGTTGGTATCGGTCTCGGTATCGGGTTCTTGAGTATCGGTCAATCTCGGTCTCGGGTTGGCCGATACCAGTATCGTTTTGCCCAACTCTAATTATTACATTTGTTTTCTCGGGGTTTTGATGTTGTTTTTATTAAATTTTTAAAAAACTATATGGTAGTCCCATTTCCAAAAAATCGTGAATTTCTGACGTTTTTTTGGTTTGGGAATTCCAGGGGAAAGGTGGAAACCAAATCCCGTCGATTTCCAACAAGGCTCGACATCAAAACTTAGTTATAATAGCCTGTAGTTGAAGTATAGAGGCTAGAGATCGGAATTTTTGAAAAGCCTGGGCCTGTTCCTGGTTCCGGATATGACTTATTGACCTGGGCCGGATCCTGGGCCGGTAGTCCAGGAAAAACTCAGGCCTAGGAAAAACCCAAGAAGGTCAAGAAATGACTGGGCCTGGACTCTGGGTACAGGAAAACTCCAGGCTTTTTTCCAGACCCAGGCCGATCTTTAATAGAGGCTATCCACAAATGTTCCCTTCCCTTAATTTTATAATTATTTAATTTATTTTATTTTTAAAGTTCATCAAATGGAAAATTTTCTTTAAGAAGTACAGAAAATAATTTAATGAATTTAACTAAACAACAAAAAAACAACCAATCCCCTAATACAAATTACAATAAACAATTAAAAAATATAGCAGCAGTAGATGAAAGAGCAGGAGGGGGTGGAGGTGGTGGTGGGGGTGGTGGTAGTAGAAGATACAAAACACCAAGTCCTCAATTATTAAGATTAAGAAGAGAAGTAAGTTGGAAAAAAATTTAATTTTGGATATTCATAAATAAGTATACTCAAAATTCTCATTTGGTGGAATTAAGTTTGGATCGAAAAGGGCTAGTGGTAGAGGATCCGGATACTTAATCAGAAAAAATCAGAATATCCGGGAGCTTCGGTTTGGATATCGGTTCCGGATCTGGATATCCGAAAATTTTTCAAGAGCTGCCAACCCCAAGGGAGGGCTTATTTCCCCTCTTAGATTTATGAATTTCTAGAATTGAGTGTTAAATAGTATTTTTTGGTTTAAAAATCGAAATATTAAATGCTGGTCGGTCCAGAAACTGAGAAAGTCGAATAAAATTATTTTTGATTGAAAATTTTAATTTTTTAAAGGCAGCCAATGCCCGCGAGAGAAGACGAATGAATCACTTAAACAAAGCTTTTGATGAAGTAACATATATTTTACTTAATAATAATTAAAATAAAAGTCAACCGAACCTCATTTTTAAATACTTTTTGGTTCTAAAATTCCTACCTTATAATGAGGGAATGTTAAATTGAGGGTTAGGCAGCTCCTCTCATTCGATGGCCAACACATTTAGTTGAATTCTTCGGTCCCGAAGAATTCAACCTGAACCTGACCCTGAATACGTCGGTTCACTTCGGTCCCAAGGGTGACATTATTAACGGGATCCCACTATACTTGAGGGTAGCCAAAAATGTGATTCGACTGTATATTTTTAAATAATTTTTTAATAGCTTCGCAATGTTCTCCCCCCAAATTTTGAAGAAGGAAGGCGTTTAAGCAAATTTGAAACTTTATTGGGTGCACAAGAATATATTATTAAATTGAGTGAATATTTAGAAGAATTAAAAAAAGGCAAAAGAATTGAAAAATCTTTTTAAAAGAATTAAAATAATTTTGAAATTTAATTTCTAGATAAATTTTATTTTTCCCTCACTAATGCTCTTTACTTACATAAAAGTCGCTATGTGTTTTGCGACAGAAAATGAGCCCAAAAATTTATCAGTTATTATGTAATTTAAGAAAATCTTTCCCTATTGCCCTAAGAGAACATTCAATTAATTTCATCACTAACATATACTTAGAAGGTTGGCACTACTCCGATATTCAGGGAATCAACATGAGAATTTAGCGAATTATTATTTGCCAATTTATATCACGGTCTCCCCCATACTTATTTTGTCAAATTTCAGTCCAAAGAGTGGAAGAGTTAGACGTTTCTACACAGGGTAGTAGTATATTCCTTAGAAGGGATGGCAGATCCGGATTGCCGGAAATTTTCGGTTCAGATATTGGTTCCGGATCCGGATATCTTAACTTTCCACAGGACCTGCCATCCATATCAGGGGTGAGCGCATTGCGTTAAATTTTGGTCTTTTGCGCCTTGCGTTGCGTCTTGCGTTATTTGCGTTGCGTTGCGTCTTGCGTTATTTGTGGTTGTCTCTTGCGCTCACCCCTGATTCATATCCGTAGTACATCCGTAGCGAGCCTAGGCTTGAAACTAAAATAAAAATATTTTATTTTTCGATAATGTCAGAAATTTTTTTTAATTTCACACTTGACCAAACCCAAATAGCATAGCAGAATATTTTATAAATAATGACATTTAATTTGTGGGTAGCCATCAAAAAAATAATTAAAAATGCCAATATTTTTTATTTTCTCCCAAATAGCTCATTAGAAAAATGCCGGCAAATTACTAAAAAATTCCTTCAAAAAATATTTTTTTATTAGGCCAGAATCGGTCAATTGCATAATCACTGCAAAAGGCGGCGTAATTTTCTTTTTTCTTTTAAAAAATAAAAATTGCTAATAAGGAACGAGTAAGCGCATAATTAGCAGGTCGGGAATGAAAAAAAAGATTGGAGTATATTGGCAAGGTATTGGCAAAAATGGCTGTTGCTTTTATGTGATTTTATCTGGAAAAATATTATTAGGGACCTGGTTTTAGGCAATCTTTAGATGAAATTTGGATTCATAGGTTTCTAAGTATATGTATAACTAGAGACCGGCCTGGAGGGGTACAAGTGTTTTGCTGGAAGTTCCGGTAGGCCGGAAGTTCCAGAATTTTTTGGTTCCAGTTCCGGTTCCGGCCAAATTTTCAGTTCCGGCAAAACACTAGTGTACAAGAACCTTTCTTGTCTTCTTGGGTAAATAAGAACAGCTGACGAGATTAAGAGACATATGTATATGATGTAAGAAAAACGATGTACCGTATTTCCTCTAAGAGATGCCCGAGCATTCTATTTTTCAATCACCTTCAAAAGGGGCATTCTATCAGAGGAATACGGTAAATACTTATTCCTTTTACATTCCTAAGTTTTAAAAAATAAATTGTCTTAGGCCAGCTTCTAAGATTTTTTGTAAACTTTGAGTGTCAAATCATTGCTTGGCCGATTCTTTAAAAAAGTTATCGCGAACGGAATTTTTCAACATTTGCGCTGAATATAAACATTTGATTTTTATTAAAACATTAAAAAACATTTTTTTGGGTTTTTAAAGTAAATTTTTAACTTAATAATCATAGTCAATATTAATTTTTAAAAATCCAATAGTCAATTCTAATAAAAAAATCATTACATGCCACATGCATTAATTTCATTACATGCCACATGCATTACACAATCATGGGCAATCACTCCCTCCCTTATTCCCTCTACATTTATTTAATTTTATAAAGTCTATATATGGTAAAGCAGCTTGGCTATAGCTTTTTCTCTCCTTTAGCTAGTGCATAAGGTTATTCGGCGGCTGAGAGCGAACCAGCATTTCAGTAGACCGGACTGGATTAAATAGCTATATGCTTACAATCAGGCTATTTATAAAATTCTGCTAAAAGTTGAGTCTGAAAACCGAAGGTTTGGGAGATAGGATGGAACTGTCGGAAATTAGAAATTTTGGAAAACTCGGAATAAAAAATTTCCAACACGTTTAGTATAAGTTTGTAGTAGGTACTCTGTCCAAAAATAGAACTAAAATTAATAAAAATACATATTTGCATAATTATTTTACTTTTTTTAAAAATATTTTTAACATTTTTAAAGGAAATGTATTTAAAATTAATTTTTTACATTTTCTTATTTTTCCCAATTTTTATCAACATCTCCATTGGGACAAAGTGTAAATGTCCAACAAATATAAAATCCTCTGTCCATTCAAAAAATCCAAAAAAACAAGCAAAAAATCCTTTGTTTCATCGTCGATTTAAAAGAGGGGATTGTTGTTCGAAAGGAGGAGAGGGAGCTACAGATGATGATAATGAAAGCTATCGCAACCCTGAAAAACGCCCTATGACGGAAGAAATGGAAGATGAACAAATTCAAAGAAAGAGCTCCCCAAGACAGGGTAAAAAGGCCAAGAGTGTTTTGTACATTTGTGACAATTTTTTCTTCTCTCATGTGCAATTTAATGTAAATTTTTATCCTTCACCACCTAAAATCTTTTATTTTATAATGTCCTATTAGTATCTGTAATTGTTTAAAATAGGGGAGCAACCCGAAACCCTCGACACGAATTCTGAAAGCTCTACAGGACATCCCTATACCCGACACTCCCAACCACGAAGGGACCCTAGTTTAAAATAGGTCTCTACACTGGTTAGAAAATAATTTTGAAGTCCGGATTTTTAAAGCATACATAAAAGGTCGGGGTTAGGTTGCTATTAATTATTATCTAAAAAATTTTAGACAATGTTAGCCAACATTTTGACAACAAAGTATAATGTGGTTAGTTAATATTTACTGATACAAACAGTGATGTCAAAGTTCCAGTTCCAGAACTATAACTACGGAACTAACGATTATCTGGAACTAGTTTGGAACTGGAACTACGGAACTAGTAAATGCCTGGAACTAGCTTGGAACTAGAACTACGGAACTAGTAAATGTCTGGAAAATTTTCGCCTGCGGTTTTGGAACTGGAACTAGAACTACAAAAATTAAAAACCTAGTTCTGGAACTTGAACTAGTTCCAGAGAAATTTTGTAACTTTGACATCACTGGATACAAATATTTATATTTCATGCAAGAATGCAAAATATACTTTAAGAATAATTTTTTTATCTCAGAGTTATTGCATTTTGTGTTTATTTTCATTTTCTTCCCCGTTTTAAATTTCTAAAATTGTTCGGGACTTAAGGGGAGTTGGTTTGAAATTTTGAGACCATAGTTTATTCATAGAAATTCCACTAGTTTTTCTAAACCTAAAACGAGCTAATCAAACTTTATTGAATTTGGCCGATAAATTCCAGGATATGCTAGTTTACACTTATAGAGAAGGATTATCTGTACAATCAGAAAATTTCCGTGTTATTCATGTTCCAATAAATGAAGGAATATTGGAGGAATTTGATGGAGATATGGATAAATATAAAGAAAGTTCTACATATTTTACTATAGGAATTTATAAAGGTAAAATAGAAAAATATTTTCTCTCCAAAGAGTTTTCTTTGAGAATTCCTTTAAAATCTCCTCTAAAAATTTAAATCTCTAAATTACTCCAAAAACCACTTTTAAGACAAAACGGCAACAAAAACGCCGAAAATTAATCAAATAGTGGGGCTACCAAATAGATTGGAACTAGAACTAGCTTAGAACTAGTTCCAGAACTGGAAATGGAACTAAGGAATTTTAAAAATGTAGTTCCGGAACTGGAACTGGAATTACTAAAATTAAAAACCTAGTTCTGGAACTAAAACTAGTTCCAGAGAAATTTTGGAACTTTCCCATCACTCCTTGCAAGACCCCTCTTCAGCGGGAGGGAGGTTGACCCATCTGTAATTATTTGTGGAAATACGGTACCGGGGTCGTTTTAGTTGAATATTTACTTTAAAAATTTATTTCACATTTCTAAAGAAATAATCACAAATGAAAATAGCGTATTTAATCAACTTCGACGAGACGAATATGATAATATTGACTATGATATTGGAATTGCCGAATTTAATGTAATGGCTGGCTCTTTCGCTGTTTTTGAAGCATTAGGGATTGATGAAACAATTGATGTTTCTAATTCTATATTCCTTCCAGAATACCTTCAATTTCTTGGAATTAATGTTTGGGACTATCAAGTTCCTGGTAATGAATCTAATTTAATAAAATAAGTATACGGGGCTGCACAAAGTAAACAATCAAAGGAGACGTAAAATTAGAGACTAGAAGATGTAAATAAGTCGTAGACCAAAAGCGGACCTTGAAGTTATCAGTCATTTTCCCCTTGTGTTGGCGACCCAGTATAATAGCTGCTATTGTCGTTCGGAACTGAACCGAAGATTTTTCGAATCGGCTCGGTTCAGGATATAAGATCTTCCAAGAAAAGTGCTTAGACGTCGGCTTGGTACGATTACGGGTACAAGCAATTCTGAAATTTCCAAGCAAAAGAGCAATCATGCTTATAACCTGTTGTCAAGATTAAACGATTTTTTTTGTTAAGAATTCAAATCTTCCAAACCTGGAGATTGGGAAAATGGAATTTGGCAAAAAAACAGAATGGAGAATAAAAAGGAACATCAAAAAACTAACAAATGGACAAAATATAAATTTACTCAAACTTCTTTACTGCTTTACAATAAATTGTTTGATGATAATAGTCAAATACCCAGAAGAAATCCATCAACTTTGGATGTTTTATTCAAAAAAATTAAATATCATTTTATAAATCAACATCCTTCAATAAAATTTAACAATTTTCCTGACCACAATAAAATTGTTTATATTGGTGGTATTCTTGTTGAAGATGACAAACATTTAATTGAAGGAAAACAGATGGTAGAGAATGAGGTAGGAGATAAAAGGATTATACATACACCGTAAATATCCTAATAGAAGCCCTGGGGTTCTATTTTTCAATAGCCCCTATCGAGTGTACTTCTAAGTAGGGCTTCTATTAAAGCATATGTAGGCTTAAATAAGATGGGCGTCTATTAGGATCAGTGCTTCGAAGCTCGTACCAAAATTCGTACTCGTACCTCGTACTCGTGCCTGGTATGATGTACGAGGTACGAGTACGAGGCCAAAAAGGGGGTGGTACAAAGTACGAGTACGGGCAAAATCGAAATTTCGAAGCACTGATTAGAATATTTAAGGTATATTTGAGCTTAACTCTGCGTAGCTCTTTCGTACTATA